ATAAATCTTTGTACATTTCTTAGCCGTCTTCTGCAAAACAACAACGTGAAATGACAAAGTTTCGCGTATTTGGAGAACGCGAACGACGGCGGCTGGTTTTTCGTATTTTTATTTGGAATTGAATGCTGGCATTACATAAGATAAGATAAGCAGCTAACGACGTTGGCGTAGAAGAAACCAACTGCTCGCAACGTAATATTCAGCTTGAGCAAGTTCTGAGACCGGTAGGCGTACTGAACAGATGTAGACAATTGCGAGTTCGAAAGTAAATCATAAATTCATTTTTTATTAGTTGTTGTCCTCGGGGTCGCCGTCGTCATTGCTCAAGTTCCCTAATTATGGGAGTAAAATTGTAAGCTACAAACAGTAACTTTGACTTTCCAGGGTGTTGATTTCCTTGTCATTCACCTGTAGAGAACTCGTTGAATTCTTTAGGCGTTAACTGAATAACCAGGGTTTTTTCGTTTCCTTTTGTTTTTCTTTTTGTTTACTTCAGCGATCCAAGAAGGTCTGAACCTGAGCCACAGTGCTGCTATGTCAGAAGCGAACTCTCTCCCAGAATACAGATCAGGCAGTGTAAGAGTTGTTTGTTATGTTGCACTTCAAGTGTTAGGTTTTTGACAGGTATTCATGAATTGTTTCTCTTGTGTCATGTTCTTAGTTTCAAGGCTTGCCATATGTTAATCCCATGAGTCTCAGCGATCCCTCTCTTACTCCACTGGGGACTACCGTTGTAACACCAAAACAGCAGGCTCAAGTACGGGACGTGGTTATGAACTCCAGCATGATGTACATGCACGAGGTAAGGAAATTTCACCAAGAAGTCAGCGTCGCACGAAATTGCTTCTGTTTAATTGTATCTCTAACCTTATCTCGTCAGTATGTGTAACCTACATTACTTGCAAAAAATTTTAGACTATTTTAATCTCGGACAGAAATGTGTCCGAAAATAAAACCGTCCGAAATTTTAGGCGTCCGAAATATATACAGTGCAGTATGAAACATTTAAATAGCTCCAAAGCCGCTGGTATCCTTAATGAAGCGAACTCTAGTTGAGACACTGCTTGAGGCACGTAACGGCTTAATAAAATTTTTGTTATTTTCTCGTCGTTGTATCTTTAAAACCTTGAAGGGGCAGTAAAACTATCATTTTCACATATGATGTTTCAATCTAAAACGTGTTTTGTAGGCGTAAATTTACGTTATCTATATTTCAGCGGCGTGTCCGAAATTTTTGACCGAAATTTGTCCGAAGTGAGATAAAAAGTGTCCCAAAATTAAACGTCCGAAATTTTTTGCTAGTAGTGTATTCGTTTCATCTTTATTTTTCTCAGAATACCTAGGCTGTTAGTAGGCCCTCTTTAAAAAGTGGAGTTTAAACGAGCGATAGATCTTGCTCGTCACGCTTTTTCAAGCTCGTCATGTAACTGTGCGTTCGAAAGAGGGGTGCTATGCACAGGCTAAGCTACGCTGACGAGACAGCACCCGCGGCTTCTTAGTCAGTGGCATGTAATGTTCTTTGAATGACACAAGGCTATGGCTCTTCTATCCAATCTGAATACGAGGTCGATAAATTAGCTGTGCGTACTTGAGTTGATTTGTTGATGGACCGTATTCTTTAAATCTGTTTCAGCTGCGAGATCGTCAGGTTGAACAGTCCGGGACACCTCGAGTGGCGAGCCTAACGACAACAGCAAGACAGCAGCAGCAGCCATCATCATCCGCTCAGGGCTTTGAAGAAGACAGCGAAACAGAACAGCTGAGGTGAGCCAACAGTTTGATTAACATGTCACGCAACGCTTCTCTACTGAAACAGCTTCAGAAACATTGCGTGACGGTACAAGTACAGTTTCGAAAAGAGACCTAAAATTCCTTAGGCGTAATGCAGAAACAAATCAGTTTATACAAGCTGCGCCGCCTGGAAATGTGAACTTCAGTAGTCTTACAGAAACAATAGCAAATGGATGAGGCAAAAAAACTAGCGAATACTGCTGGCAAACACTTTGATAAAAATGTAAGGTTTTTCGCGCACTTTGTAAGCAGTGAACATTGGTGTGGTATGTGTTAAAATGATTTGTCGGTTAATTGACTTAAATTATTTCTTATTACAGGGACGACGCTGGGATCGTGTGAAAGTTTAGGGCACCAGTTTGCGGGGAAAGAAACGGCTCTTTGATGTCTAGGAGCTTTTAACTTCGTGTCGATAAAACAGCAGACTGGATAGGATCATTGCAGGATGAACTTTTCCCTGAAACTAAAATCGATCCATAGAAGTTATCTTTTTATTCCTTCTATAGCCTCTTTATTATTTTCTTCGTTTTACACTTCAGGGCGTCAGTATTTAGGGTTTTTCGGAAGTTTGTCATAAGTTTTCAATGGTTGTCATATAAAGTATAGTTTTGAAAATATGTCAGTCGTAATAGGTTATGGTGTGCACACTTTTTTTTTGCCAGGATTAAGTTATTCGGCTTCGTGTTTTATTGAATTGTATACGATTTGCTCCAAATAGCGCGGAGTGATTTGTTTGATATAAACCTTTTTTCACTCCGAGGGATAATAACGATTAGTATCACCCAACTAGTGGACTAATGCAAATCCTGCATTTTGATTGGCCACGCTACTAGAGGACTATTAGCAATAGTCCTCGAGTAGCGAAATTGGCGCAATCGAGCGTGACGCTTTCTTTCGTTTTATTCCCAAAGAAATATTTCTTCAACTTGCATTTGCCAACTTTATTATTGCCTTTTCTGTCCGACTAGTTGGGTGGTACTAAAACAATTAGACCCTTCGCCCTCAAGGGCCACTAGTCAATGGCCCATTCGGCAAGGGCTAGGGGTCTAATTGTTAATTATATCATTTTCAATGACTGGTATATAGCGACAAATAAAATGCTTTATTTTCTATATAGCTTGTATTGTTTCTTTTCTCAAACCTTTCAAGAGGCGTAGGCACGAGTTGCTAGAAAACAGCGGAGGTTTGTGAATGATCTCAGAAAGAAACTTCATAATCAGCTTGCACTCGGCCAGCGCGGAAGATCCTGGGCACTAGGAAGTTTAAGAAACTAAAACGCCGACGTCGAGGACAATGAATCTCGCGATACTCTAAAGTCATTTAGTTTGTTTCTCTTGGTCAAAACTATCCCAAAACTAAATTCTTCTCTTCTTCTTCTTCTGAATATAAAACACTGTAAAATTCGAAATAAAAAATTTAAAAATTATCCATCGTAGTTAACGTTCTTCACACAACGCAGAATTTGGTCATTTCACGTTATTCTTTTGCGGAGGACGGCAAAGAAATGTGGAAAGAATTGCAATGCACGCGCTCAGCCATGAATAGTTTTGACAAAGAGAAACAGACTAAATGACTTGAGTGTCGCAAGATTCGTAGGTAAAATTTAAATTCATTTTTTAATCGACGTCGTCCTGGGCGTCGTTACTTAAACTCCCTGCTATGTTGCTGAAGAGTTGGTCAGCGGACAGAGATTCTGTGACATCATACATGAGGCTACTTTCCGTATTAGCGTTGGAGGAGGGGTACGGAAAGTGATGATAAGAACGTTACCCGTTCAAAGGCCCTGACATCACTACTGCGTTTTCATGTTATAAGTATCCGTAAACGAAACAAAATATTTTTGACCACACTAGCGTTTTTGCTCTTGTTTTCACCTATCCACGCTAATTCGTCTTCATTGGAAAACGCATACTTTTTGTTACGTTTTCGCCTATCATCCACACTAAAACGAACGAAAACGCTGATGGAAATGACAGCATATGACGCTTTTCTCGTCACTGTTTTCAGAAGCCTCCGTTTTCTCCTGTCCATACTAGAAACAACATTTTCAAAACGATGCGTTTTCAGAAGGCTCCACTTTTGAAACCGTTTTCGAAAGCCTCTATTTTCATCATCATTAATGGCCATGCTAGGTGGCATAAACACTGCCGTAGAATGACAAAGAAGGTCTTTCAAGAAAGCAGTCAAAATCAAATTGTGTAAATGCTCATTTTTAATAACTTTTTTTAAACAATTACGATATTGATATATGTAGTAGCTATTTGCACTTACCCTGCATTTATCTACAAGAAGAAAGGCAAACTATTCATTATTCTTACATTCTATACTTTACTATATTTTAGAAAATGTAAACCCTCACTCCTTCATTTAATTGTTCGTTTCATTTAATGGCGTATCTTTTATACGATTATCTTTTGTCTTAAAAAGGCGTTAGATGACGTTGCTATGGCGACCGGCTGACATGACAGTTCATACTGTTTTCTGATTGGATATAAGAAATCGGAAATGTTCACGAATGTTTTCGAAGAAAAGAGGTAGTTGCCTTGCAAAGCGGTGGAACAACATCAAATGCATAGAGTCCCGACTGAATACTCAACTTTTCCATTGGGGGTTTAGAAGAGATTCAATTTAAAATTAATTACGCCATTGATAATATTACATTTTACGAGATAAAACAAAATTAATTACAAAGCCATGACATTGTACTGAGAATTCTGCAAGCTTGATAAATCCGCCTAGCGTGTACGATTTAAAACTACAGAGCGCATCCATCAATGGAAGCACAACCGCTGCGCTTAAAATTCGGTGCTAAACTAAGGCGTCTATTTAGATTCCAAGAATTTGGTTGATGATACCATTTATCGTTATATAATAACTTTACAGTAGTCGTTTCCTTAACAAATACATTAATAATACCGTGATAACTTTCAGGTGAACAAACTCTTACTAAAACTGAAAATTTCTACAAAAAAATTCGTGTTTTTACGAAAATTTTATCATTGGTTTATTCCTGTGTTGTGGAAGTCAAAGAGAACTCAAAACTCTACACCGTTGTGGTTCTCCACATCATCTCTAAGATCTCACGAATGTTCGCGAGTATAAACTAAACAGAAACAATAAAAAGCAGTGTTCCATATATTCCTTAAAGATCTAACTATAAGCGCGTTTTTATAGAATTCAGTATTTCTGCTAAGCGAGCAAACGTCGTACCAGTAAATAATAGCAGTCCCTCTTCTTGAGTTTTTCAGATCAATCGCAGAAGAAATACAAAACTGGTGTTTCGGTGCATTAAGAATAAGTTTAAGTCGGTAAACATCTGGCGAACAGCTACACTCTTTTTTTATAAGAATATTGTTTTTCAGGCCGAGGCTGAACATTCTTATTTTTCTGCCGATTTTAGGCTGAAAATATTCTTGTGAATCTTCTTAGATTACAGCGCATGACATTTCTGTTTTCGAATGTATTTGGTGTCTGGATTGTGTTAAAGTAATTTTGGAGCCAGCCTGCAGGAATTAAAGCACGATATGATGCACATATCTTCTTGCAGAAATGGTATTAGCATCGAGCATACGGCTAGTGCTGTTTTTGTTGCCTTTTGGCTAGTTTTTCCATTTAGAGAAAGGAAGAATTTTATATGTAATGTTCCAGATAATAGGCTCGATTACCAGCCGCTGTTCGGGAAAAGAGCCCGCGCTCTCCAGAAACGTAGACGGACTCGAGAAAACGGCGGAAATCGAGCCTATCCAGATAAGTAAGGGGTCTCAGGTCAAAAACCCGACAAAATCAGCTACATGACCCGACAAAATTAATAGAAAATTTATAATGATTTGTTGGGAGCAGTGGGAATTGACCCGTTGGAATCCCTCGTTGACACCCTACCTTGAAAACTTATCTGGAACCCCGTATATGGTTAAGTGAAAAGCACATAATTGTATTGCATTTAAAAATTTTCAGCACAAAAAATTATCTTCTTTTCAAAATCTCAGCCTCGGGTTCATTCTTAAAATATTCTGAAAATTTCGCAAATTTCAGCGTTGATATTCATATAAAATGTACTGAGTGTACTGTAAAACAGCTATGCCTGCACCAATCCTGTGTTTTCATCATCATCCTCAACATCATAATAAAAATCGTCCTCCAGCATCTTGAGTCTGGAATAGCCATAGTCTTCAAAGCGAATCCTTTGTTTTTTCTTGAATTGCCTGTAGATATAGTTTCCCACAATAAAAGCTAGTCCAACGCAGACGAGTACAGCGATACAGATTCCTACAATCTCTTTTCCTTTTGAGGAAGGACTTACTGGAGATTCAGAGGAGCTTTGGGGAGGTGGTGTTGTAAATAGACACTGAAAAAAAAAAAGTAACGATAATGATAATGATAAAGATAACGATAACGATAACGATAATGATAACAATAATAATAATAATAATAGTTCTTTATTGAGCTCACACAAATTCTTCATTAAAACTTTGCCTGATAATTATTAAACAAGGAAGCATTGTAGTTTACAGAAAAATGAATGAAATTGAGAAGAGCTGAAAACTGGAATGACTTTAAAATGTCACAGAAACATAAAAAGTATTTGCAGTTTGTGTCATTGATTGTACGCAAGAAAGTAATCAAAAACAAGAAAATTACTCTCAACATTACAAGACACATTCTACTAATTATTTTAATAATTATTATAATTATAATAATAACGTCAACTTACATTCTGATTGTACTTTATTATTGAAAAATTAACAATAAAAGCTTGATTTAAGCTTCATAAAATAGCAGAGTGACAGTAGACTGGAAGAAACAAAACAACTGAACCTTACCTTGGGACTTGATGAACATGCATTAGGTGTCTTTAAGTTACATCGTGCAAAACTTTCTTTCACAAAAACTCCATAACTGCCCTCTTGTGGCTCAACACTGCATTGAGGAAAATTAAAAAAAATAACAGTCATTTTTAGAATGTCACCTCCTTGTCCTATAGTCTTCTCTGCAGATGCTGTTTAATATTGTGTGATAGGAGCTATATCAACATGTACAACCATGACACTCCATGCTGAACATAACATGTCCACAAGCACATAAGCAGGGAACCAAAAGGAAAGCTTACTTCACCACCAAACTCAAAATTGAAAAGTGGTACTATGACGAAAATTCCATCTTTCCTATCTTAGCCATTTTAAAACATAAACAAGTAGCCTATACGAGAAGAAAAAC